ATAGAGCCAAAGATGTTAGAATTGTGTCGATGTCCCAATATTTCTGGACCTGACTGTACGTATGTATTTGGAGAAATCTTCAGTCTAGAAAGGATAGAAGTATATGCAAGAAGATACTCTGTTGTCCAGAGGCCAGCATTTTTATCTGCTTATATGATGAGTGGAAAGAGAGTAAATGAAATAGAATTTATGACACAGTATTGCATAAATGCTGTGACTTCTTTACAAGGTTTTTCTTTAAAAAAATTATAGACTGGACAGCTTCAAAAGGTCTCATTCCATTTGCAGCTTAAAGAGTCGTGTAAGTGAGAAGATGGGTGGCTGCGTAAATTGAATGAATGAATGAATAAATAAAGAAGTCTTCAATTACCCCAGCCTTGCAGACATGTATGATCTTGAAGATGAATCTCTTTTCTTTGTTGCAGCATGCAGGCTGTACCTCCAGTGGCAATGAAGTGGATCTTTTCTACAGTGGCTTCTGTCCTGTGCAATGATGTCATAGGAATGTTAGATCAGGCCATTAACCCATCTAGTCCAGCATTCGGTGTTACATGGTGGCCAGCTGAATGCATTAGGGAGGCTCACAAGCTTGGGCCGGAGAGCAAAGGTCCCTTCCACTGTTGATTCCAGCAACCAGCGTTGATGGTATGGTGGCTATGGTTTAGGATTTGGCAAACAGCCTTCAGTATTAGTAACCATTAATTCTCTATGAACCTGTCTGTCCCCTTTTAGAACCATCCAAATTGACTGCCAGTACCACAATTGCCAGCAGTCAGTTCAGTGGTTTCACTGTGCGATAAAGTATTTCCTTTGGCCAATCTTGAACCCCTCTGCGTCTAGTTCCAGTGGATGACCTGACACTGTCAGAGGAGAAGAACTACTTCCTCTCCACATTATGCACGTCAGGCATGATTTTCTGTCTCTCGTGTCTCTGTTTAACCTCCTCCATTTCATGCTAAAAACCTAGTTTTCCTTGAAGGGGACTGCTCTAGCCCTCTAATTCTCATATGCTGTTTTTTGCACCTTTTCTAGCTCTATAATGTCATTTTTAAAGTGGAGTAATCAAAACTGTCCACAGTATTCCCAAGTATGGTCTCACTATAGAGTCATATAACAGAATTGTTATATCGGCAGTTCTGATTAATGCTGATTATTGCAAGTGTGGAATTAGTCTTTTTAGCAGCAACTACAGACTGGATTGGCATTTCTTCGAGCTGCCCACCATACCAAAGTCCTCTTCTTTTTCAACTCCGGCTTAGATCTCATCCACATGTAAGTGAAGCTTAGAATTTTGGTGTTTATGAAAAGATGTGGTCTAAAGGATTAAAATTTACTTTATGTTAT